CACACACACACACACACACACACACACACACAAAGAATAACACATTCAACCTCCTCAAGAATTGGTGAAACGTCCATGAATGCTCGCGCTTCTAGGTGTGTGTATGATGTATGTGTGTTTGGTTCATAAAAAATCGGGGAATCAATACCGTAAACGCATAATCATATACGTACCTACGAATAGCAGTATACGTAGCTGGTTTTGTCGTCTCTGTAACACAATGGCACGTTGCTATCCTGGCTATACTGTATACACAGACCACAGAAATGGCATGACCTCGCCGGACTGTAGAGTGGGAATGACGTTTGCACTGTCTCAGTGGATCGCGTCAAACAGAGAGTATCACGCTTTCCTAGGGTGCCATGCCATCAGGCTTTTCTACGTTGCTACCAAGCTTTCCCACTCACTCTGCTGTCAGGATTGTCCTTCTGTTTTTATTTTTTTTTGACCTCAGCCGAATAGAACGGCCTGTCGGACGGCACGCAACTGCCATAGCAAGAGCACAGAGAGCAGTAGTTGACGCAGTCACAAGGAGATCGGCTACGGCAGCTGCTGCCTGTAATAGCCATAGTAATAGTTGACGCAGCCAGAAGGATTAATTTAGTTGACGTAGCCACAAGGAGATTGGCTACGCCAGCTACTGCCTGGAATAGCCATAGTAGTAGTTGACGCAGCCAGAAGGAGATCGGCTATGGCGGTTGCATGTCGTTTCCCTGAACGAAGGGCATCATGAAGGACGAAAGAAATGCGAAAACGACAAGAGGAATGAAGTAGAGCAAAGGAGAGAGAAAGGCTCGGAATCGAGAAGGCGCACCTCGCACCTGGCAATGGTCTTCTATTTCCTCCTGCTCTTTTTTTCTGGCCAGTCAACCTGTCAAACCCCCAAGACGTCAAGATCACACCGCTTCCCTTCCAGCACACAGTACGACTAATATTCTAAAGTCGACATCGCTTCTCTCTCTCTCTCTCTCTCTCTCTCTCTCTCTCTCTCCCCGAAGCGAGTGTCTGTGTGTGTGTGAAGCGAGTGTTGATGCGATCGACTTTCACTTTCCCTCTTGACCCGCTCTCTCTCTCTCTCTCTCTCTCTCTCTCTCTCTAGCTTGAAGCGGGTCGCGCTTAGCGATCCCCCGTGAGAGCTCGCCGAGCGAGGAGGCGAAGGACTTATGGGACACCAGCCTCGCTCCTGTCAACGAGCTTTCAGTTTCAGTGCCTTTCACCTATACAAGTACAAGAGAGTGCACGCGCATTTTTATGCGACCACAATGACGCTACAAGTACAACAGAGTGCACGTGCATTTTTATGCGACCACAATGACGCTCGGAGACCTCACACAGACCGTCAACAGAAACGCAGGTGGAAACCACTTGTACTGTCCGCGAAGTTTCCGGAACGTACGCGACCCCCAGGGGCCAAGTCCCGCTAGCAGCGTTGAGCTACCTCAACGCCTGAATCTGGACACTTTCGTGGAGATGTGCAGAAATGGTGTTGAGTTTCCTGAACAGCACATCTCCACAAACACGTCCAGATTCAGGCGTTGAGGTAGCTCAACGCTGCTAGTGGGACTTGGCCCCAGGTCGTTCACAATATTAGCAATGGCAATAGCATTCCGTTCTAGGAAAACCCGAGTGCGAGTGCCCGGGCATTGTCGCTGCATCTGGACTGAAGTTGGTACAAGGGCCCTGCCGGCGACGCGCCAAAGCCCGAACGTATCATGAATCTGGCTGATAACAGAGCCCGAGTCATTTGGATCTTTTATCCAATGAGGCCCACCTTCGGGATTTTGAAAAACAAGGGCCCTATTGGTTCCTGAATCTGGCGCGAAAACAGGTCCAAATTCTTGGACCGGTAAAAACAGGCCCCGGGAGATGGGAGATGTGGCCACTCGGCGAAGGCGCGCCTTTCTTTTCTTTTTTTTTTTTTTTTTTTTTTGGGGGGTAGCCCATTCCATTCCAAGTGAGGGACAGGGGCCCGGGAAAACACCCCACATATCAACCCTGTAGACAATATGCTCGGGCCATTACCCAGCTTTAGGCTTCTGGAAACCGGGTCCGGTGTCCCTTACCGAAGGTTCTCTCCAAAAACTTAAAAAAGGCCTCAATGCATGATATGAATACCAATTCAGAAGGCGCGCCTTTTTTTTTTTTTTTTTTTTTTTTTTTCGGTTCGACATCAGGGGCTGCACTAGCTGCAGTGATAAGAGCATCTGCAGCTAGTGATACCATCAGATGGCTCCGGTCTATTGGTGGGGAGCTTCACGTGCTGGAAAACGGGTCCAGCGTCCCTTTCATGAGAGCGATGATACAGAGAAGCATTCCAAAGTGGGCGAGACCTCTTCACCCTTAGTAGGGCGCCAACTGTACCTTGAAAATCTAGCCTCAGCCCAATCCTTCCTAGCTGGAGCACCTTCCTGTCCTGCTAAACAGCAGGACTGATTCTAACAAATCCTGATTAAGTAATTCTGATAGTTCGGTCTCATTCTAACGACTCTTGAAATAGCCCGGTCCTCAGTCCCCCTAGCGATCCTGCTTTTAGCTATGCTCTAGTAGTACCTCTGGTACTGTTCCACCTTCCATTCATGGTGGCCTCGGGCCCAAGAGCCACGATGACAGGACTATGCCTCCTTGTTTGCTCCTACTCACCAAGATGGAATTCCGGCCCCAGGTGGAGAAGAACCGTCTGTGTCTACTCCTTTTCGAAACTGCTTTTGCCTGCCTCATCCAGTCCGCCCCGATCATAGCCCTAACATTCCCCAAGACAGTCTGCAGAATAAACAAATCTGAGTAGAATTTGTTCCTGAATAGTCTATCATTTCTTAATTTCCAAATCACATTCATAATGGCCGCCCTAACAGCAATCGCCACATATCCCCACCTGAGGTTGGTTGGACAGGAGGTTTTGGGGCTTGCATGGCTAAAGCAAGTGGTATGAATGTCGAAGGTGGTTAGGGTTGACTCCGTGTAGTGTGTGGGCTGTTGATTTGGTTGTTGATGTGATGGCAGGTATGTGCTGTGAATCAGATTCTGGATTTGGTTGCCTACAATAACACATATACGTATTATTGTGAGAGACCCCAGCGAAACCATGAAAAGTGATCGTCACATATTAAAATCTTATATATGTATACATGGGTATACTTAGGATGAATTTTTGCATGGATTGAAGAGCCCCCACATTGGAGCCCACTCAGAAGCTGAGACTGAGGGGCTTAGAGGAGGTCTCTCCTTTTATTCTTGTCTCTTGCTTTTTGATGATTTTCTTAGTCGGACGTTTGGTCCTGGGCCGGGATTCGAGGTCCTTGTACAAGACATCCCAAGCCCTAGGCTCTGCAGGGGAGGGGTTTTCCCTCGCGATGAGCCTATTTGATTTGCCTACCGTGACACTCAGGTCGAGAGCCTGAGGTCCCTCGGCGGCTACACGACTATTCCTTCAGCCGTGCAATGTCGTGAAGGGTTAGGCCCTCACGACACTTCAAGTCTGACACTTGAGTGTCATAAGCGGTCCACGAGGGACCGCTTGATTATGGGCACTACATAGTACGCCATCGTTGCGACTGATTGTGTACGCCTGCATTGCAAGTCGATATCAGTATGCCCTGCGTCCGAGCGGTTTTATACTAAGTTCAGCGCGCGACGCCTATCCGTTTTCCGCATTGGAAAGTTATGGGTTGGCTACCGAGGGGCTAGGAGCATTGTCGCGTTTTTGGTATTGTGTCGTTTCGTATATATGTTGTTTTGTGTGTATGAGTGTTCGTAAAGTGGAGTGCGCGTGGTGTGTGGGATGCGTCCTAGTCGACCGACGATGAGTCGCGCTTGGGACCTCAGCCCCCCCAAGATGTCGGTTCGCGTGCGGGTCCGATAGAGGCGTATTACCGCGCGTACCCCCTATGCTACAGCGAACGAGAAACGCCCTCGGCTGGTCCACCTCTGCGATTGCAACTGATTAGCTTTCGTACTGTGGACTGGTAGCTCGGCGGGGATACGYCCACCGAAGGGAGGTGACARCTCCCGTAAGGTGTAGGTAAGTCGTGCCTCGCGTAGGCCCTATCCTRTCGTAGGGGCTCGCGAGAGGTATGGCTGGCGCACCCGGCCGGAGCGGCTTGCGGAAGCTCCATGTATATTGCGACGAAGGGTTATGAAAACCAACTCCTGCGTGACGCGGCCGGGAGGGTCCCGCGCTGCCCCCGTGCGGTGCCGGACCGATGCGCCCGACAACAGTTACCGGGGAAAAAGGCCCAGGGGGTAGCTCCCACCATAGTTGCAGGGACGTTACCAACAAGATGCAGATTGGGCGCGAGGGCGAGGGAGAGGAGAAGGTAAGTACTTGGAAAAATCAAGTACAAGTTGGGAGGGAGGAAAGGAACGTGGAGAAGACAAGCCAAACTGATAAGGAGGCGGTTGAGAAAAAAGGAGAGGATGCGAAAATGCAGGAAGGGAAAGGTGGAGAACTCACTGCCCAAAATGGCCTCAAGGAGGTAGAAATGGGGGAGGAGGAAGAGGACATAGACAACCTATCTGAAGCGTCATACCATTCGTATGAATCGGAGGAAGGTGGGGATGCAGTATTTACCCCTAAGGAGAAAAGAGGTCGGAAGGAAGGTGATGATGGCAACAACGGTAGGGCTAAAACAAAAAACAATTCAGGAATGACAATAAACCTGCTTGCATCATCAACACACCGTCAACCAAGTGAATCAAACAGATTCTTGATCCCAATAATCTGCAAACAGACCCAGGAGGGTGTCAAATTCCTGGTTTACAGCAAAGACTCGGCCATTAAGCATATCACCCCTTGCTCGGTAACAGGTAACCTCAAAAAAAATATGATGCTAACCAAAGTGAAAAATTACCTAGGACAAAAAGTTGCTGTGAGGATGGCGCCTGGTATCGGTACCAGAAAATTGACGAGACCTAGCTCTACCGGAAAAAAGATTCACCTTTTTTTGGCAACCTTTGACGTGCGCCCCACAAACGCTGAATTGGCGGAGCTGGAGGCTGGTCATGGACACTGGGTCCCGCTCAGTTGGGCCAAGGACGAAACTGCATTGCACGCTAATATGGTGTACACTGCAGATGCCATCTCTGGAGACGTGATGGTAGAATACAACCAGCAACTGCCGCTGGATTACAACCTATTCTCAGATCACTTTGTCAGTGTGCCGACATCACAATGGCAATCACAGACAGACGGTGAGAGTTTGGCGGGCTCACGCAGGCGGAAATCGTGTCTTGCTAATGGTGCCGGAAAAGGTGTGAAACCAGTGCACATGGAAGTCAAATCGGTGGGCCCCCAGGGACCTGCGGCAGTATCGGGTGGAGGAGACGGTGAAAAGATCTCAAGATTTCCTCCCCCGGATATCTCTCTTATCCAATCTATAGGGGTTGAGAAATGCAATGAATAAACTCAAAGTGGGAATATGGAATGTACGGGGTCTGGGGGATGGAGGAGGTTCCAGCAAATGGGCAAGGTTGAAGAGATGGATCCACCAAAAACGAATTGACATCATGCTCCTCCAGGAAACTAAACAGGATGAGGATAAAATTGAGGAAAACCGCTGGCAGTGGCAGGGGCCCCAGTATTGGGCGCCAGCAGACGGATCTAAAGGGGGCACTGCTATCCTGATAGGAAAAAACCTACAGTGCAACCTAGTAGATGACTACGTGGATATATTGGGAAGATGAGTATGGGTCACATTGAGAATTGAAGCGGTGGACTGGACTTTTATGTCAGTATATGCGCCGGTGGATCATAGAGAAAAATCCCAGTTCTTTGAAATCCTCCATTGCCTGGTCCCGGTCTCTGAACATCTGGTGCTGGGGGGAGATTGAAACACAATATGGGACCTGGCGTTGGATTCATCTACAAACGACGCTTTGAGAAGGGACTCCAGGGCCCTCA